GGTTCTCGGGCCAGGGATCCGAGATCGCGTGATCTCGGACCAACGATGGCCCGAGGCTCTCGGAGCCTCGATCCGAAGATCGATCGAGGATCGAGCCTCGACGAAGGGATCTCAGACGAGGTGACCTTGAGACAGAGGCTCGATCCTCGATCGACTCTCGGATCGAGAGTCCAAGGTTCTCGGGCCAGGGATCCGAGACCTTGTGATCTCGGGTCAACGATGGCCCGAGGCTCTCGGAGCCTCGGTCCGAAGATCGATCGAGGATCGAGCCTCGACGGAGTTGCGCTCGATGTTACGCTCGAGAGGGGGCCGACGAAGCCTCTCGGGAAACCTCTCGGAAAGCTCGATGGAACGGGGCTTGATCGCCGCTCGCTCCTCGACGAGGCCTCGATGAAGCCTCGCGCTGGGCCTGCTCGGCTCAAACCTCCACCTCGATCTTCTCGAGCTCTTGCTTGCCCGTCTTCTCCGCCTTCATCTCCTCGTACTCGTTGTTGATATTGGTGTAGTTCGGGAAGCTAGTCTTGATGTACACATCGAAGAACATCTTCTGATGCTCGAGCTTCTTCTTCTCCTCGGTGCCCTCGTCGCGCTTGAGGCGCTTGGCGGCGGTGCACTGGCGCACGTCGAGCTCGAAAGCCTTCTTGGCCACCTTGCTGACTTGCCAGCGCCACGCCACGATGGCGCTCGTGGTGCAGATGCGCTCGCTTGCGTCACCCTCGTCGCAAAACCGCTTGAACTCGTCGAAGTAGTCCTTGGCCTTCTTGGGCAGGATTGCTGCCGACTCGAACTGCTCCTTGCCCTTCTCGGCGCTGGCCCTCGGCAAGACAGGCTTGAATTGCTTGTTCACTGGAAGCGTCACCTCGTGCAGCGCTTGCAGATCTTGGGGGATCTCGCCGATGGCCTGCTTGGCAACCTTGGTCGCGGCTCCCTCGGGCATCATCTCGGCCTTGTCGCCGAGGAGCGCGTCGTGCGTTTTGGCCTCGTCGAGCAACTCCGCTCGGAAGCTCGGCAGCATCCTGAACAACTTCTCGACGTTCGTGTCTTGGTCGTCGAAGCCGTCGAACATCCCGGTGCCCCCCTCGATGTGCGTCTTGCAAAAGATCGCGCAGAGCAGCTCGCCGCGCCGCTTGTCCTTGCCGTGGCAGATGCCCTCGCACTGGATGCCCTCGAGGCTCCCCGTCTTGAGGACGCTCGCGAGGACGGCGTTCTTGATGTTCTTGTGCCACAGCGCGGAGCCGCCTCGGCAGTAAAAGCTCGTCATCCTCGAAGCGTCGGTCGCCTCGCCGCTCGATTGGCGCTGCCTCATCTCGGCGCAGCCTGCCTTCTCGGCGATGTACTCGAGCGTCTTGTTCTGCACCTCGATGGCCTCGTTCTGCTTCTCGAGTAGCTTGGGCATCTGCTCCAAAACCTTGTTGTTTTGCTTGGGCAGCTCGATGATTTGGCCGTCCTCCGCGAGCTGGGGGCTCGACGCATTGGGCGACGCCATGGCTCGGGAAGCTGAAGCCCGAAAGCTTCGAACGCTCGAAAGGCTCGAAAGCTAGAAAGCTCGAAGCGCTCGAGCCAGAACGGTTGCGGGCGGGAGCAGGAGACTAGCTCGTTTCGCTGGATACATCCTCGAAAACGTGCTCGTTTCGCTTGAAACATCCTCGAACACATCTCTCGTTTCGCTTGAGACATCCTCGACAAATCCTTCATCTCGCAGGAGACATCCTCGAGCAATTGCTTGTTTCGCTTGAGACACCCTCGAACCAAATGTGTCGTTTCGCTTGAGACGTCCTCGAGAAATCTCTCCTTTCGCGTGAGAAATCCTCGAGTATATGCTTGTGTCGCTTGAGACATCCTTCAGAAACGTACTGTTTCGCTTGAGACGTCCTTCAGTGTGTGCTTGTTTCGCTGGAGACATCCTCGAATGTATGCTTGTTTCGCTTGAGACATCCTCGACAACGTGTTCGCTTCGCTGGATTCATCATCGAAAACGTGCTCGTTTCGCTGGAGACATCCTCGAACAAATCTCTCGTTTCGTTTGAAACATCCTCGGCAAATCTTTCATTTCGCTCGAGACAGCCTCGAGTATATGCTTGTTTCCCTTGAGACATCCTCGACAAGTTTTCGCTTCGTTTGAGACATCCTCAAATAATTGCTGGTTCCGCTTGAGACATCCTTGAAATATTGATCGTTTGGTTTCAGGTTGCCTCCCAAAATTATTGGTTTCGCTTGAGACATCCTGCAAAAAACGTGTTCGCTTCGCTTGATGTTGTTATCCCAACATGAGAAGGAAGTAACCTCGATGGCGAACTTTTCCCGTGATAGTGAAGTTCGGCCCCCGCGCCCCCGCGCCCCCGACCAAACTCTTATTGGTCGACGATAAAAAACTCTAACGACTTAAGGGGGGGGGTACAGTATTATCGTGGGCATGGGGTTATACAAATGGTTAGTTTTGGTCTGACCCCTCCTCCCCCCCCTCCCCCTCGGAGCCCAGAGCTTCGAGGACGTAATAGGCGAAACGGCCAGACCGCCTCGTGCGCAGCATTTCAGAGCCCCGAGTTGCGAGTGTTTCCAGCGAAACGGGCCACACCACCTCGCGCATATTTTCTCGGAGCTCAGAATTGCGAGGATGTCTGAGGCGAAACGCGCCAGACCACCTCGCGCGCCGCATTTCGGAGCTGAGAGTTGGGAGGATGTCTGAAGCGAAACGCGCTGGACCACCTCGCGCGCGACATCTGGGAGGCCAGAGTTGAGAGGATGTCCCAGGCGGCGCCCACACCAGGAGAATAATCAAATGGCCCGTTTGGGTCTGACCCCTCCTCCCTCCTCCATCCTACCTCTTGGAGCCCAGAGATTCGAAGATGTCTCAGGCGAAACGTGCCGAACCACCTCGCGCGCCGCATGTCAGAGCCCAGAGTTCCGAGGATGTCGCAGGCGAAACGCGCCGGACCACCTCGCACGTGGCGTCTTGGAGCTCAGAGTTGCGAGGATGTCTGAGGCGAAACGCGCCAGACCACCTCTTGCGCGGCATCTCGGAAGTCAGACTTTTGTATGTCTCAAGCAAAACGCGCCGGACCACCTCGCGCGCGGCATCTCGAATAGCAGAGTTTCAAGTATGTCTCAGGCGAAGCTCGCCAGACCACCTCGCGAGAGGCATCTCGGAGCTCAGAGTTTCGAGGATGTCTCAGGCGAAGCAGGCTGGACCATTTCGCGCCCAGCGTCTCAGTGCCGAGCGTCTGAAGCGAAACGGGCCAGACCACCTCGCGTGTGACACTTGGGAGCTCAGGGTAGCGAAGACATCCCAGGCGGCGGCCAGGACCCTTCCCAGAACACATCTCGACACTCGAACAATAATCAAATGGTTGGTTTGGATCTGACCCCTCTTTCCTCTTCCTCCTTCTCGGCGCCCAGAGATTCGAGGATGTCTCGAGCGAAACGCGCCAGACAACCTCGCGCGTAGCGTGTTGGCGTTGCGGGGCTGTCTCAGGCGAAACACGCCAGACCAACTCGCGAGCGGCGTCTTGGAGCCCAGAGTTACGAGGATGTCTCAGGCGAAGCGCGCGGCATCTCGGAGCCCAGCTGCGAGGATGCCTCACGCGAAACGTGCCAGGCTACCTCTCGAGCGGCATGCGAGGACGGAGCAGGCGGCGCCCCGACCCCTCCCAGAGCACAACTCGACACTCGTAAAGCAATCGAGTGGCTCGTTTGGGTCTGACCCCTCCTCCCTCCTGCCTCTCGGAGCTCAGAGATCCGAGGGTGTCTCAGGCGAAACGGGCCAGACCACCTCGCGCGCAGCATGCCGGAGCCCAGAGCTGCGAGGATGTTTCGAGCGAAAGGGGCCACACCACCTCGCCGCATAGCTTCTTGGAGCCCAGAGCTGCAAGGACGTCCAGGGCGAAACGCGCCGGGCCGCCTCTCGCGCGGCATCTCGGAGCTCAGAGCCGGGAAGACGTCTCGGGCGAAACACGCCAGACCACCTTGCGCGCGGCTGCTCGGAGCTCAGAATTACGTGGATGTCTCAGGCGAAACGGGCCAGGCCTCCTCTCGCGCGGCATCACGGAACTCGCAACTGCGAGGATGCCTCAGGCGAACAGCGCCAGGCCACCTCGCGCGCGGCACTTCGGAGCTGAGAGTTGTGAGGATGTCTCATGCGGAAGGCGCCGGCCCACCTCGCGCGCGGCATCTCGGAGTCTAAGAGATGGCGAGGAAACCTTGGGCGAAACGCCCAAGACCGGCCAACTCAGAAACGAGAGTTGCGAGAATGTCTCAAGCGAAACGTCCCGGACACATTTTCTTGAGGATGTCTTTGGTGTCGCGTCCCTCGACCAGAGAGCACCCCGTTCAGCCAGGTGTTCTTGGCAAAACCGAACTCAAGGGAAAGCCTCCGCTGCGACGCTGTTCCTGCTCGTTGCCTCCCTCCTCTCCTCCTCGCCTCCTGTCTACTGCTATGAGAAGGCTGATTTGGCGCCCGTGCCGAATGTCCACACCAAGATCGTTTTCCTCAAGCGCCTGCTGTGCACTGCTTGGGGTCCAGCTCTGGTTCCATTTTGCGAGTTGCATACAGGTTTTATCCTGGCCAGCCAACGGTTGAATCAGATGCGCTACAGTCGGGGCGCTGACCTAAGGAACCCCAAACAAAGAGCGAAGCTTCTGTCTCCCCATGGGTTAAACTTTGATTTCCCATGGGAAGCCTCCGGAAACCCTAAGGCAAACTTTAAACCAATCAAGGAACACCGAGCCCCTCCAACGAAAACCGGTGGCGCGCAAACATGGATCGGGGGAGGTGCCCTCACCAAAATGCGGCCGGTACCACCTCGTTCGGGGGCAGAAATGAGCGATTTCCCATGAAAACGGGACCCGTAGCTCATCCACGCACCCTTGATTCATGGTTGCGATCGCCTGAGAAAAGGGTTCCTTCTTCAGCGCCCCGACTGTATCCAAAAAGCCCTCTTCGACCAGTGCCCCACAGGGCGCCTCGAGCTCCTCCTCGGGGCACAAGCCGTCCGCACCGTCTGCCATGCCACGAAGACGGTGGCGCGGGCGAGCCAGCCTGCCGCCCCTCTCTGCGACCTCCTCCCCCACCTCCTCCTCCTCCTCCTCCTCCTCCTCCTCCTCCTCCTCCTCCTCTTCTCCTCCTCCTCCTCCTCTTCCTCCTCCCTCCTCCGCCTCTCCCTCCCTCCTCCTCCTCCTCCTCATCCTCCTCCTCCTCCTGCTCCTCCTCCTCCTCCTCCTCCTCCGCCTCCTCCTCCTCCTCCCCCTTCCCCTCCCCCTCCTCCTCCCCCTCCCCCTCCTCCTCGTTTTCCTCCTCCTCGTCGTCCTCCTCCTCCTCCTTCTCCTCCTCTCGCTTGACCTCCTCCCCAAAGGATTGGTTGTTCGTCTCGGACAGGCGTTGTGGATTGTCGGGGAGTCCGAGACGGGCCCCCGAAGGCCGAGCTTCGAGAGAAGAGCGCCGGCACGGAACAAAAAAACAACAATCCGCTGAAGGACTGGGTCGGCTACACGTACGAGTGGCCTTTCACTGGAGTCACCTTTGGTGCGGGCCCAGTGGGCCCCCATGCGATAGCAGCGGCTTGCGTGCCCGCAGGTGTCCCCAAAGGGCCCCTCGCACCAAAGGTCACTCTTGCCTAGGGTCACTCTTACGTGTAGCCGACAGGGAGGTGGGAAGGAGGAGGGAAAGCCTACAGTCGAGAATGATTAGTAGGTCGAGCCTGCTGCCACATCAAGGGCACCCTTGTGTCCTGTGTTTTGCGACCCATGCCTTGTGCTTTCCTGTGGCAATGTGGCCATCGGACGGGTATTGTGCACTCTCGAGTGTTCTCTCCAATCAAAATCAGTTGCACCGTTTCATCCGAGGCCGTTTCACCCGGACGAGTGAATCCGAGGCGAGCTTATCTGGACAAGCTTGTCTGGACAGCTCTTGTTCCAGACGAGCTGATCCGAAGACGACCTCATCCAAAGACGAAATCACCCTCAGACAAGTCAAGTCCATCTGGACGAGTTCGTCCAGAAGAACGTCCTTCTGGATGAACTCGTCGCGAAATAAATCGTTCAGAATGAGTCGGTCGTCCTCCCAAGGGAGGGCCGGGAACGGGCTTCCGCTGTGGACTCTGACCCGCAGAGACCTCCGCAGGGCGGTCTCCTCCTCCTCCTCCTCATCCTCCTCCTCCTCCTCCTCCTCCTCCTCCCCTTCCTCCTCCTCCTCCTCCTCCTCCTCCCTCTTCCTCCTCCTCCTCCTCCTCCTCCTCCTCCTCCACCTCCTGCTCCCCCTCCCCCTCCTCCTCCTCCTCCTCCTCCTCCTCCTCCTCCTCTCCTCCTCCCCCCTCCTCCTATCCTCTCCTCCTCCTCCTCCTCCTCCTCCTCCTCCTCCTCCTCCTCCTGCTTCCCCTCCCCCTCCTCCTCCGCCTCCTGCTCCCCCTCCTCCGCCTCCATTATTTCTCTTTGTAGATAACTCCTCCCTGTTTTTAGGCCAGTTTTTAGGGCGGGCCCGGCGTTTCGCCTGAGACTTTCTCACAATTTATGATTCTGAAGCTTAAGAAGGGACAAGAGCTTCACAGATGGAGGGCGGGTCGCTTTCAAAATGTAGCTTTCGCCTTAGCGCCGCGCACATCCGTTTTAAAACTTCACAGAAGCTTCACGGATTGAGGGCGGGTGGTTTTCAACATGTGGCTCTCGCCTTAGCGCCGCGCGCATTCGTTTTAAAACATTTGCATGAGCTTCACGGATTGAGGGCGGATGGTTTTCAACATGTGGCTCTCGCCTTAGCGCCGCGCGCATTCGTCTTAAAACATTTGTATGAGTTTCACGGATTGAGGGCGGGTGGTTTTCAACATGTGGCTTTCGCCTTAGCGCCGCGCGCATTTGCTTTAAACATGTGCAAGAGCTTCACGGATGGAGGGCGGGTCGTTTTCAACATGTGGCTCTCGCCTTAGCGCCGCGCACATTCGTTGTAAACAATTGCAAGAGTTTCGCGGATTGAGGGCGGTTCCTTTTCAAAATGTGGCTCTCGCCTGAGCGCCGCGAACATTGTTTTTTTTATACAATTTGCAAGAGTTTCACGGATTCCCAGGATCAACGCACCAGAAATGGAGTTCCGGAAGGATTCAAGATTATGCGGGCGCAACAGTTATCTGGATTCGCTGTGTTGAAGTCCCAAAAACGGCGTTCTGGCACGATTCTGGATCCTCAAGACGCAGCAGTCAGGTTGATACGTGGCGTTGAATTCCAGAGAACAATGCTTTGGCACGCTTCAGGATCTTCAACCTGTTGCCTTCCAGCGAGGCAGTTTCCTCAATGGAGATGAACCCTTGTAGGGGCCTATGAGGAGGGAGCTTGCAGGGAGGGTTAATTACAATATCGTTGATGACCCTTGGGTTTCCACTGGTCCTCCTCCTCCTCCTCCTCCTCCTCCTCCTCCTCCCCCTCCTCCTCCTCCTCCTCCCTCTTCCTCCTCCTCCTCCTCCTCCTCCTCCAACTCTTTCTGATCCTCCCCCTCCTCCTCCCTCCTCCCTCTCCTCCTCCTCCTCCCCTCCCCCTCCCCCTTCTCCTGCTCCTCTCCCCCTCCTCCTCCTCCTCCTCCCTCCCTCCTCCTCCTCCTCTCTCCTCCTCCTCCTCCTCCTCCTCCTCCCCTGTTCCTCTTCTCCTCTCCTCCTCCTCCTCCTTCCTCCTCCTCCTCCTCCTCCTCCGCCCCCTCCTGCTCCTGCTCCTCCTCTCAGCACCCCCAAGATTTCCGTTCCAGTCCCTCCACGCACAATAGCCCCCAAGAGAGGTGAACTGATATCCTTGCCCGTCAGCAGTGAAGCCAAGTCCTTGCAGGAGGTCGCCACGCCATAATCAGGGTGGGCGAACGGCCCCCAGCCACGTGATGACCCCCCTCGTCCTCTCCCACGGCGTGGGGGATGCGCCGAGAGTGGTCCTCATCTCGCCCTCTCTCCCTCCCCCTCCTCCTCGTCCTCGTCCTCGTCCTTCTGATGGCCTCCTCTTCTTTTTCTTCCTCCTCATGCTCTATTTCGTCCTCGGCCTCGTCCTCGTCCTCGTCCTCGTCGTCGTCGTCCTCCTCCTCCTCCTCCTCCTCCTCCTCCTCTTCCTCCTCCTCCTCCTCAACCTGTCCCGAAGCGCGGGCTGGCAGGTCGAGAGGGGCGCCACCCCGCGATCGGGGTCGACACAACGGCCCCCGAGAGGCCTCAGAACTGCCTCCGAGAGGCCCCCGAGAGACCTCCCACGAGACCCCAACGAACGTCCCACGGTGACGGGAGGGGCCGCAGGCCATCAAGATACCTCGAAGCATGACCTCTCCCGAGAGCGCCCCCAAAGGTTGATCCTTGAAGAGGAGCGCACCTATGCCAAGATTTGGCGGCGCGCAGAGGGGGGCAGGGGGAGGGGGGAAGGCTTCCTAGAGGGAGGCTGCTTCTTAGGAGCCGCGGGCCTTACATTTACAGACAAGGCCCGCGCCTTCTAAGAGGCAGGGGTGCTTCTGAGAAGCCTTCCCCCCTCGCCCTGCCCCCCTCTGCGCGCCGCCAAACAATACTCACGTGGGTCTCTCGCCGTCGCTCGGACGTCCATTCCCTATGTTTTCTTCGATTTCGTGCGTGTTTTTTTCGCCAAATGATCAAGGATGCTCCTCGATGGTCCTCGCCGAAGGAAAAATGCACACGTCCGAGCGATGCCAAGGTCTTCGCTACATGCTCCCACGGCCCCTCGTGCGCGAGAAACAGGTTCGCCTGCACGGCCCCGCGGTCCGGGCCTCCTCGGCCGCGGCCCCCTGGTGGACACGGGGCTGCGTTGCGCGGAGACCCCGTGCGGAACGGACCCACGGAAGGATCACGTCTGCACGGGATCACGCCGCGATGTCCAGACCGCCTGGACATGTACATGGATTCAGGGCAGTTTTTAATACATAAGATTTTTTGTTTTAACATCGGATGTTTAATGCATGATTAATGTATGGATAAATTTATGCATGAACCCAGCGTTGTTTTTAATACTAAAGCCGTGCATTTTTAATACATGATCCGCACGCGGAGCATGTATCAAAAACGGCACTGTACGCTCGTCGTCCGCTCAATCAAAAACGCCGAGCAGGACAAGTGGACCACCCCCACCGGAGGCAACCGTTCTGCAGAGCCCAACAAGTTCGCCTGCATGGCGGGGGGCGGGGGGGGGGGGGGGCGGGCGTGGCGAGGCCCGAAAAGAAAATCAGCAAGCTGGGCACGCCATGCAAAATACAGAAGCAGACGCCCTCCGACGAACTCAGCATGTGCCTTCAGGGAGGGCGGCGGTGTGCATATACAGCGACTGGCTCCCAGGTGGTGATGTCTACACGGTGTCTTTTTTTCTTCTTCTGGCGGATCGGGACGCACTCGCAGGCCTTTTCGGTCAGCGTTGCTTGGAAACTCGGGTCGGGCGAAAGGGGGGGATCGCGAAGGGGGGGGTTGAGAATCAGCTCACGTAGCTGATTTTCCCGGCGCCTCCCGGCGCCGGAGGCGACCATGTATCGAGCAATGGGCCCCTCGGTGAGGCCGAAACCAGCTGCATGCAGCAGATTTCGTAACCCCCCCTTTCCCAATTCCCCCCTTTCGCCCGGCCCAAGAAACGCTTGCAGGGGGGGGGGGAATCGGCACCGCCCCAACATACTAACACTCTTTATGCGTGCGTCGCCCCATCAAGCGGCGACGCGCGCTCCGAGGAATCTTATTTCAAGGGGCCCAAGGACACACAATTGAATACACACACAAATAAAATGCTTCCCCATGTTTTTCCATATTTTCTGGGTTTTTGTCTTCCCGCCCAATTCCCATATTTTCCCATATTTTCCTGGGAGTCGACGATTAACTGTGTCTGTGTGTTTTCCCTCCTGATTATAGTACATGCTTCGTGGCGTGCGCTTCCTGGCCGTACCGCTCGGGTGACGATCTGCTGCAAGATGGTTGTGCTATGTGCTCGGGTGGCACGCACGCCTCCGAGGAGGATACGTAGTACTAATGTGTCCTTCAGCGTCCCAGGGAGCGTCGGGGAGGAGGAGGAGCAGGAGGAGGAGGAGGAGGAGGAGGAGGAGGAGGAGGAGGAGGAGCAGGAGGAGCAGGAGGAGGAGGAGGAGGAGGAGGAACGCCGGGCCGGGCCGTGCCCCCGTTGCCGTGCGAGGCCGCGGGCTCCCATGGCCGGCCCCGCCGGCCGTCCCCCGGCCTGCCCTCCGCCCTCGCGGCGGGGAGGGGTGCCGTCCTCTCCGCCGGGCCTCGCGGCACCCCGCTCTCCTAGGGAGCCCACAAAGGACGTACGCGCCCAGCTATGTACATGAACACGGCCCCTCGATTCGCGAGACCGGCCGCGTTATACGAACATTTGTGCAACGCGTGCTCTCGAAACCAGCGTGGATTCATGTACATGTACGTCCTTCTTTCGCTCCTGATCTCCCAGGCTGGGGCGCAGCGGGCCAGGGCTGCCAAGTGCCACAGGAGAGCATTCGAGGGTGCCCTCCCCGAGGATGCACAGGAGCATCCAGCAGGCACGAAGGACATCAGGGTAATTACCCCCCGAGCCGACCTCGATCTTCCAACCCTCCTCGAAATCAAACGCAAGTCTTTCTTCTACCCCCTCGCCCCAAAAATTTCAATGCTGACGGGCGCGCGCAGCGCGGCCCGCGGGGGCAACGGAAAGATGGCAGTCGCAAACTTCGGCGTCGACATCGCGGGTCTAGGGGCGTTGCCACGTCGTTGGAAAGACTTGCATTTGCTTTCAAGGGGGGGCGTATGTATCCTCCTCGGAGGCGTGCGTCCGTTACAACGGTCTGGGCCGGGGGTCTGCCCTTCTTCAGTTGGCCTCACGAGGGTGCGAAGATAAACGCGCGTCGCGCACTGCGGGGCACGGTGCGCAAGTTTAGGCGACTCAGGATCCGGTGAGGCAGGTCTCCCAACGTACCCCCATCAACGCGGCGCGCCTCAGGAAGGGCCTCGCCTTCGAGGATCGAAGGAGTTGGCATCTCTTCCTCGGCGGAAGGCGGCACAAGGCCCGCGGAAGGCGGCGGGAATTAGCAAGTAATCCCCAAGAGATGCCGGAGGGTCAGGGTTTCCGGAACCAGCTATGTGTCGGCATCACCCCAACATACTCACACTATGCGTGCGTCGCCCCCCACGGGACGACACGCGCTCCGGGAAATACTCCAGTGTATGCTTCGTGGCGGGCGCTTCCTGCCCGGGCGGGATCGGGATGGCTGCGCGGTGAACAACCAATATAATCCGCCGACCCTGTCGGCGTGTGCGAGGGGCTTGGCTGTTCGAGTCGTCGCCTCCGTCGGTCGTCGCCTCCGTCGTCCCCTTTCCCCGCAGCTTCCTTCTCAAGCTCGTGAGCGAGAGAAAAATATCTAGCAGTGTCGTAAAATCGAGTCGCAGGGAAGCCCCTTCCCTCTGATCCCTTCCTGGGCTTCCTGAGGTCCGCTCGGATCTCCTGGATCGGCGCGAGGCCCCTGCCCGGCGCGCGGAGCGCGCCAAGGGCGGCGCTGGAGGCGCCGCCGGGGGGACCGGCGCAGATCCAAGCAGTCCGCGCGGAGCTCCGACCGTGCATGTTGAAGGGGCCCTGGGACACAACTAACTACACACAAAGAAAGAGGTTCCCCTATATTTCCCAATAGTTTCTGGGTTTCTGTCTTCCCCCCCACTGCCCACATTTTCCCGTATTTTCTGGGGAATCGGCGATTAATTGTGTCTGTGTGTTTCTTCCCCTCCTGACATGTGTATGCCGCTCACTCGTGTTCGAAAACGGGGAGCTCTCAGACCCAGGCCGCGACGCCAGGCGCGCGATCATCCTCGTGCTCCTGGGGCGGCCTGCAGCCAATTAATTGATGCTTCGCGATCACGCCCGCGGCCGGCCCCGCTCCCCCCCCCCCCTCCCCCCTCCCCGCCCCCCTGGTCACGCCACGATCCACGCTGGTGTCGTCTGGGGGCTAACGCCCTTCTGAAGCATTCCCAGACGGCGCCGGCGCGAATCGTGACGTGACTGGCTCGACCATTCCCCTCCCCCCCGTCACGCCCGCCGTCGCTGGGGGATGAAGACGGTCCCCAGTGGTTTCTTGAGGTCGGGGTCAGGGCGGTGCTGGCGAGGACGAGCTGATGCTCCTGCAGCAGCTCATGGGGGCCTCCCATACTATCTCTTGTTGTCTCTCGCGAGTCGACGCTCGTCGACGCTGGGTCGAGGCAAGCCGACGCCCTCTCATTGATTTTCAGACGGTAGCGCACGCGGGTGCACTCCAAAGACTGAACTGAACCTCGAGGACACACACGGCTCCCATGATGTGCTTTGGGGAACGAAGAATGACGTAAACATACAAACTCTGAGGTCCCCGCGGATTTCTCGGACCCGCGCTAGGGCTCCTGGAGGCGCGTCCGGCGCCGCCCCTGGCGCGCTCCGCGCGCCAGGGAGGGGGGTCCAACGCGGATCCAAAAAATGTGCGTGGACCTCCAAGCTTTTGTGTTCATGCCATGTTTCGCTCCCCTAGTGCTATCGAAGCTGATGCCAACAGCACACCTGCACGCCATCGCTACCTTTAGGTCGGGCATGTCCCCCTACAGGCAGATTTTGGACGAAAAATAAAAGATACTCAAATCATACTCGAAACATACCCACGAATACTAGAAACAAATCGTCCGCAGCCTATTCTCCTTCTGTTTTTGAATGTTCCTCCTGCAGAGGGACACGCACGCCTTCGCCATCTGCTCCCACGGACCCCGCCGTTGTGGGGGGCGGCGATGTGCGGCGCGCCGGCGACCCTGCCGCGCCGCACGTGGGCCCCCTCGAGCGAAGCAACGGCTGCCGCTGGACGACGGCCAGGCCAGCGGGCACGACAGCGAAGCTGGATGCGTCGGCGACGCGACGGCGCTGGCCAGCCCAATCCGTTTCACCAAAGAATATAACCCCAATCAACGGATGGCTTTCGACAAAAGACATCGACAAGGAACCCGGGAGCCCGGAACCCACCGACATCCTCCCGGAACCAATAACCAAAGAACTCGGGAACCTGGGAACCAGGAACCCGGGAACCCAGCCGGCCACCAAAATCGGCGGGAAACTTTCGCCAGATCTTGCAATGTCCGCCAGGGTCCCTTCAGTACAAGCACTGATTGGGGGAATACGACATGAGTGACAGAAGCATAGCCTGTTTGAGGACGGTGCGGATTTCTTGGGTCGGCGCTGGACCCCCCTCCCTGGCGCGCGGAGCGCGCCAGGGGCGGCGCCGGAGGCGCCGTCAGGCGGGGTCCAGCGCCGACCCCCTCTCCTGGTTTGGACGGCCCTCCGCCCCCCCCCCCGCGACCTGTCAGAGCGTCCAAGATGGCCCCAACTTGGTCTCAGATAAGCCTACATGTCCTCCCAAATGTCACAATCTCGCCCAACATTTCTCGGTATAGCTTCCACCATACCTCCAATTTACTCCAAGACTATCACAACCCGGCTCCGAATTGACACTGAGCCTCCCCAAAGACATTTTTTCTCCAATAGCCTCCGCCTTTTCAGGCTTCGGACAGCCGAAGACAGCCCCAGAAGCATCCAATATACTGTAAGCCCAACACGGCCCCAGAAATCTCCAAGAGGGGCCCAAGAGGGACCCAAGAGGGGCCAAGAGGGTCCCAAAACGGACCGAAGAGGACCCCAAGACGGCCTGAAAGTCATCGCAAACATATTTGAAGCGCTTTATGAGGACCCAAGAAGTCCCTTAGAGGCTCGCAGAATCCCCCAAGAGGCCCCAGAGAGGCCCCCAAGAGGCCGCCAGGGGTCCCACGAGGCCCCCAAGATGTCCCCTCTTCCTCCTCCCCTTCCTCCTCCTCCTCCTCCTCCTCCTCCTCATCATCATCATCATCATCATCATCATCATCCTCCAATTCTTTTCCTTATGAACAAGTTCTCCCTGTCGCACCCCGAGGCTAGTTTTTAGGGCGGGCCGGGCGTTTCGCCTGAGACTTCCTCACCATGTATGAACCTGAAGCTTAAACATCGGCAGCGGTTTCACATATGGAGGGCGGGTCGTTTTCAAAATGTGGCTCTCGCCTTAGTATCGCACAAATTCGTTTTGAAACATGTGCAAGAGTTTCACTGATTGAGGGCGGGTGGTTTTCAAAATGTGGCTCTCGCTTTAGAACCGCGCTCATTCGCTTTACACATGTGCAAGAGTTTCACGGAATTCCACGATCAGCGTACCAGACATGGTGTTGGAAGATTCAGGATTGTGAAGGTGCAACAATTACGTTGAATCGCCGTGTTGACGTCCCAGGAATGGCGTCACGGTACGATTCAATTTCGTCAAGACGCAACAGTCATGTTGATCCGTGGCGTTGGAATCCTGAGAAACAAAGCTTTGGCATGCTCTAGGGTCTTCCAACGGTTGTCTTCCAACGAGGCAGTTCCCTCAGTGGAATGGACCGTTGCAGGGGCCTGTGAAGAGGGAGCTTGGAGGGAGGGTTTATTCCAACATCGTTGGGTTTACACTGGTCCTCCTCCTCCTCCTCTTCCTCTGGCCGCGTGTGCTCCCATACTGCGATGGGGAAAAGGAAATTTGGTTGGCGCAGACTCGTGTGTGTCCGCACTGTTTGTCTCTCGGAGACCTCAGGGATGGTTGGACCGCGGTGTGGACCCTTCCCAAGTTCACTCGGCCACCGTGAGAGGCCCCCTGTCGGCCTTGAGGCTCTCGTTGGTGCGTCTCGGTTAGCACATGGACAATGTGATCGCCATCATTGATGGCCGTGGCCAGCCCCTTGAGCTCGGTGTTGCCAGCCCCGCTCTGTTGACCATCCACTACCGCGAGGCTCTGCTTCGCTCTCTTGAGAGGGATCTTGACAGCAAGTGGAGCAACGGAGGTCGGCTGTGCCTAGATGTGATGCGCGCTGCTCTGTCTTCTAAGGCCTTGGCGGCAAGTGAGAAGGGTATGACCAGGGCCTTAGTGTGCAAGGCCATTTGGACTCCAGATCGTGCGATCGGATGGAGATACGGAGTCAGCCCGCTGTGTGTGCACTGTGGTGGCAGGGGTTTGATTACCACCGCCTGTAGGTGTGCTGGCACTTGGCCGAGTTGCAGCTCTGGACACTGAGTTCGAAGACTACTCTGACCTCCGTGTTTGCCATGGGGCTTTCGCCCATCCCGCCGATTACCTCCCCAGGCCGAGAAGCGATGGGGGTGTGCAGCTCGTTTGGCACCGTGAGGTCCCTGACGGGCCCAGGGTTCGTCTCTCCCAGGCATGGTCATGCCTGGGGTGAGCCGCTTATCGGCAGTTCCTGCTCCAGGCACGTCATCAAGGAGCTCCGCAGGGCTGCGTGGGCCATCGCTATGCAGTCGGAGGAGGAGGAGGAAGAGGAGGGGGAGGAGGAGGAGGAGGAGGAGGAGGAGGAGGAGGAGGAGGAGGACGAGGAAGAGGAAGAGGAAGCGGAGGAGGAGGAGAAGGGGAGGGAGAAGGAGGAGGAGGAGGAGGAGGAGGACTAGGAGAATTATGATGGGGATCTGGCTGGGGAAGTCTTGGGGCCTGTTTTGGGACCAGGACCCCCCGACCACACAGGCCGGAGAGTTTCTGAACGAGGGGTATGGCTGGCACTATGATCCAGCATGCTTCACTGCATCCTCTGATTACCTGAATGCTGTGAAAAACTCGCAGCTCCCCTGTCCTGGACGTCTCTCGGGCACGCGTGTATACAGTGGGGTCCTCACAGAGGCCAATGCTCGTGAAGATAATCTCATCACCGACATAGTCAAGGCCGCGGCGCAGAAATGGCATTCGTGCTTTTGAACGGGTCTGCAGAACGTGCACCAACGACGTTGATGCGGCGGCGAAAAGGGCCATTCACATTCATCCCACTGACCATACTGGCCTGGATGAGGTCGATCGCAAGACGGCTATGGCACGTGCGGAGTGTGCGTGTGTGTGTGTGTGTGTGTGTGTGTGTGTGTGTGTGTGTGTGTGTGTTGGCAGCCAAAATGTTGATATAATGGCCCCGCTTAAGATTATCGCAATCTTCTTGCTTTCCCCCGTGAAAAAAAAAACAGGCTCTCACATGATAGGCCATGCCATGAATGGGCTAGGTGGTCGGGGATGTGGCGCTGTAGGGTTTATTAGGATGTCGTGCAGTCGACGAGCCTGAGCCAGCCTGAGCTAGGGATGCTTAGGCAAACGCCGTTTGGGTGAGGGCGTTCTTGCTGCGCTTCATCACAAAATACTTGCGCTTGCGTGCAATGACCACTCCCACATCCTTGTGCGCATTAGGTGCCGGTTTCATAGCACTGGTGCCCGAGTCGACGGGCTGGGACGTGTTTGCAATGAACACCCCTCAAGGCGTGACTTCTGGCGTGGCATACACCCCAACCGCAGGAGGAGGCAAGTGGTCGTCAACGCAGGCACGGGGTGCGAACTTCTCGGCTCCGCAGGAAGCCGTGGCCCAGAGCCTGCCCGCAGACACCAGGCTTCCTCACCACCCAGAGCCGTTGGCCCTGTGGCTGGTTCTTCTTCGGAGGTGGAGGTGTTCCCTGCCCGCTCGGAGCCCCCCCCCCCTTATCGGAGGAGGATCGTGAGCAGGCCCGCGAGCTCCGAGTCGTCGCGCAGTCTCTTCGCCTTCTGGAGGCGGCCAGCGGCGGCCGCCCCCGCGGCGATCGGCGCGACTCGGAGGCGGGTTCTGACTGGGTGCTGCTTCTCCCTCTTCTGGCCTTCCTAGCCCATGGGGCCGCCGGAGGCAGGTGCGTGGCTCTCCCCTCGCCTCTCGTGCACGGTGCTGCCTGCCGCTCAGTGCTCGAATCATTTGGCAGCCATGGCGTTGAGGCCAAACAAATCCTCCTCCTCCTCCACCTCCTCCTCCACCTCCTGCAACTCCTCCTCCTCCTCCTCCTCCTCCTCCTCCTCCTCCTCCTCCTCCTCCTCTTCCCCGTCTTCTCCCCACCTCCTCCTCCAACTCCTCCCGCCTCCTCCCCCCTCCTTCCTCTCTTTCCTCCTCCTCCTCCTTCTCTTCCTCCCCTGCCCCGTCTTCCCCCCTCTTCCTCCTCCAACTCCTCACCCCTCCGCCCTCCCCCTTCCTGTATCCTCCTTCTCCCCTCCTCCCACCTCCTCGTCATCTATGCCATTGCCTCTCTCCTCTTCGCTTCGTTCTGCCTCCACCTCGCCGCCGCCGCGACCTGCCACCATCACCATCACCATCACCATCACCATCACCATCACCATCACCATCACCATCACCATCACCATCACCATCACCAGCACCACCACCACCATCACCATCACCATCACCATCACCATCACCATCACCATCACCATCATCCTCCTCCTCCTCATCATGATCATGATCATGATCATGATCATGATCATCATCATCATCATCATCATCATCAGGTGTTGTGTTTGTATGTATTATCTCTGTCTCTCTGTCTCTCTGTCTGTCTGTCTGTCCGTCCGTCCGTACGTCTGTCTGTCCGTCTGTCTGTCCGTGTGTCTGCCTGTCTGTCTGTCGGTTTGTCTGTCTTTTTGCTTTCTCTATCCTTTTGTGGTTTCTTTTGTCTCTCTATCTTTTTTTTGTTCTCTCTCTCTTTTCTCTTTACCTCTCGCTCTCTCTCTCTCTCTTTCTCTCTCTCTCTCTCTTGTTCTCTCTATGTGTGTGTGTCTATGTGCGTATGAAAGAACGCGTTTCGTGGACGCTTGCTTGGAACAAGTCCATGGACACGTCGGAGCCGGCCCCCCTCCCCCCTCCCCCTTCAAAAATTCGAGCGCCCAGAGAAGTAAGTATGTTGACTAAGACGAAGGCCCTCACGATGACCTCGCTTGAAGGAGGCCCAAGCAAAGGGACTTGGGCTGAACGGACAGGGAGCTAGAAACCCCGTCGGCGCAAATACAAATTTGACGAGCACCGTTGTACCTCACACCCACAGTTGTGATCGAAGGTAGTCAACCACCAACAAAACCGTACCCGTAGCCAGGGGTTCCGTTGAGCGCCCAAGGAGCCTCCCCTCCGCTCCCCCTCCCACTCCCCCTCCCTCGAACACCACCCTCTTTAACCGGGAGGAGCCTACCCCCTCCCTTGCGACGTCATCCCCTTCCCCATCTTCAACAGCAACCTCTAGGGTCGCTGTCCCGCCCGGCTCGTCTACTCTGCGCACCGTCGCGAAGCCGCCAGCGCGGGCCTCGGCAGCGCAGGCCTTGAGGGCTGCGCAGGTCTCGGCTGCCACGCCCGCCGCTATCTGCGCCTGGAAGTTACTTCTCAGCACCAGCCAGTTCACTGGATCTGGCAAGGCCGCTGACTCGTCAAGCACCTCTAGCACTGGCCTGAGCGCAGCACATCCGCGAACTGCCGCTGGACCCGACTGCGCGGTATGTCCTCGCGTAGGTGCCCGCCCCCTCCTGCTACCACCTGCCAGGCTGCCAAGATAATTGCGGTCACTCTTCGAGACCGCCAAATGCTGCCATGGCCGAGGGGATCATCGCCCGCTCCGGGTACACTGCCCGGAATCCGACGACCTCCTCGGAGAGCAGGAGCTTGACCTACTCCCCCGTGCATGCCGCTGGCTTCAGTATCCCTCCGAACACCTCCTGACCCGCTGCCGAAGCCTTGGCGTGCCTGGCGGGCTTGCGGACAACCATCTGCCCCGCGTCGTCGCACCTCAGCATGAGGCAGTCGCTCTCAAACATTGAAATCTCCTACCTCTGATCAAAACTCCTTTAAATCCACGCTAAGCCCAGCATGTAGCACCCTCGGGGTACCACGAGCGGAATTCTGACATCTTGCGCCCTGCTCCGCTGGTTTTCGTGCGCCCCAATGTGGTCGTCAGCCCTCCACCCACGAAAACGAGGCGCTGCGGCGGGAGCAGCACCGCCCACGCCTTGACGAGGCGGAACCACACCACCCCGCGCAGGTACGGCGCGAGGCCGTCGCCCAGGACCAGCCGCTCCTAGGCCCCAGTGAACGCGCTGGGGAAACGAGCTGCCCTCGTCGTCGGCCCCTTGCCCACGCCGAGGAGCATCTCCATGTTCGAGGCGACCTGTTGCGCCGCTGGCTGAACGGAGAGCACGTCGCTCGCGTCGACACCCGCGACCCGCTCCGTCCAGACCACAGCGCGCAAAGTCAGCTTGGGTACCGTCTGTCCACACGGTTCGGCCGCCTTGGCGTGCACGTACTCGATGAATTGCAGGATCGTTACGGGCCACGGGGTCCCGTGCGCGCACAGGAGCCACCTTCTCATAGTCTCCCTGGCTCGCACGTGCGACCTCGCTGTGTCGATGCGCGTGCGGCCCGTGATGCAGTCCTTCGCCCTCTCCGGGTCCATGGAGCCCTGCGCCGTATCGACGGAAAACGCTCCCATCTCCTCGAACAGCGCGAACACGCGGGACTTCCACCACGCCCACTTTTGCACCTCCAGCCCGCGCCGGCTCTCGGGTCCCCTCCATCGCACGGGCCCCTGGCGGCGGCGGGGCCTCGGGCATACCTCGGTCGTCCGGCAATCGGGGGCACGCTGCGGCATCCTCCACCATGGCCCGCTCGGGGCAACCCTGGCGCGCCAAGCGTTCCAGAACAGGTTCTTAACAACGGCCCGATCCACGAACTCCCTCAGCGGTTGCTGCGCCTCCTCAGCGCTGAAGTCCGCGACTTCCGCCACCTGCGCGACGGTCCCCATCGAACTCGGCCTCCTCGCCCGCCTGCAGAGCGAGGCGCGGGCCGAGAAGGTCGTACTCGTGCAGCAAGATGCTGCCCCGCCACCGCGCGGCGTCGAGGGCGCACGGCCCAACGGCCAGTTTCTGCGCCCAACCGTTGTTCAAAATCGGCAAAGTTCCTGAGCCCAAATGGCCACAGGCATCGAGCAGAGTGAGAGAATACACAATTGTGTTGGCACACTGGGGGATTATTCTCCCAGATGTTCCCCCATGGGATTCGACAACGCCTGGGAGAACACAGTCGAACAGTCTGGCCAGACTTTGGCCCAAAATGTGGCCACATTGGCGTGGGTGGGGGCGGCGGTGGCCCGCCGCAGTCGTCTTCCATAGATGGGCGATGCGACCCGTCCTTTCGCGACTCCCGCCGTTCCGCGAGCGCTCCAGATCGAAGCGTTTCTCAGGCTGTGCTTATTACACGTGCTCGGCGAATGTGTACCGCCAGACGTCTTGGCCTAAAAGAGTCCTGGTCGAGAACAGGCGGCTGTTGCCCAGCCTGCGCAAAGGACGGACCAATGCCTGCCCGTGGATGCTTCCGGCCCTTCAGCCTGAAGTCAAAAAAACAGGCGCCGTAGACGAGGAGCACGGTCATGCGGTAGAGGCGGGGAGCGCAAGTTGCAGCAGGGGCAGACAACAGAAAGCTCACAGATTCCTGAGAATCATGCTGGCAACCGTCTTGTCGTCGCCACCCATGTTGACTGCCAGGCCCAGCTCCGGCCTCGACGCCAGCTGGTAGTCCCCGCACTCGCCCTTCATCTGCCTGCTGGGGGGCACGAAGGTAGGGCTGGGGCAGAGGTGGGGTTGGAGGGAACATCGCTCCCAACGGCCCCTGGAAGAAGGAAACGCGTTTGTACTAGAGCATCCAGCTGGGCCCGTTCCCCAGCCCCACCTTGGGATAACCCCCCCTCTATAGAAGAAGGAAAACATAAACTTTTGGCGCTCCGCGCGGATTTCTTGGATCCGCATTGAGCCCCCCTCCCTGGCGCGCGGAGCGCGCCAGGAGCGGCGCCGGAGGCGCCGCCAGGGGTGCCCAGCGCGGATCCAAGAAATCCGCGCCGAGCGCCAAAAGTTTATGTTTATGTGGTTTTCTCTTCTTCGACTCTGCGAAGCCCCGAGCCTGTAGATCTCCAGGATCTGCTTGATGCCGGTGGCGCCCACGGGGTGGCCGAAGGCGATCAGGCCGCCCCCGGTGTTCACGGGGAGCGTGCCCGAGCGCTCCGTGGCACCGCTCCGCACCACGTCGCAGGCCCGGCCGGGCTCGGCGAGGCCGATGGCCTCGTAGGCCAGCATCTCCGCCATGGAGAAGCAGTCGTGGAGCTCGGCGACCCCGATGTCTGCTATGCGCAGCTTGTGAGCGGCCATCAGGCGCCCCACCACAGTCCTGATGGTCGCCATCTCCGTCAGGTCGTCCGGGTCGCTGTAGAGGTCCCCGACCCCGTAGTCGTTGCCGACGACCTCGACGCACTCCGAGAGCTGCTTCCCCAGCTTCCTGACGCCCTCCTCCGACGCGAGCACGCAGGCGGCCCCGCCATCGGAGACCTGGGAGCAGTCCGTGACCCTGAGGTAGCTGCTGAACTCCTCGTTGCTCAGGAAGTTCGGGTTGGTCTTCGACGCCGTGGACGCGTGCTCCGCGGAGACCTTCACCGCGTGCATGTGCGCCAGGGGGTTCAGGTTGCCGTTGCCGTACGCTTTCGCGGAGACGGCGCCCAGGTCCTGGAGCCCCGTGTTTTTTTGCGACTCGCGAGAGCGCCCGTGACTTGCGCCCCCCCCTCTCCCTTCCCCCTCCCCCCTCCCCCCTCCCCCCCTTCCCCCCCTCCCCTTCCCCCTTCCCCCCCCCCCCTCCCCCCTCCCCCCCCCCTCCCCCTCCCCCCTCTCCCCTCCTCCCCCCTTCCTCCCACTGGGTCACGCCCCTCATCGCCAGAGGGGTAGAACGCGGCATCCTGGAAGCCGGCGTGGGGGTACCTCTCCAGGTACGCCTTCGTCCGCCGGGCGAAGAGGCACGGGAACGTGAAGTCGTCTATGCTCGGAGGGCGCCGACGACACGCCTACTGCTCATTGCACCGGCCTTGCAGACGTGCTGCAGCGGATTTCCGCGTGGATTTCTGCCTGAAGCGGCGCGTGAAACACGAAGTGAATTTCGCGTGGATTCTTTTCGGTCTTCATTCCTGGCCAGAAGAAATCCGCGCGAAATTCACCTCGAAATCTGGAACGAAATTCTCCAGGACACTCCAGGCGCATCCTATCGTTTTCCGAACGAAATCGCCTCTGCGATGTTGGCGCCATGATACTACAGTCGGACCTGAGCCAGAAGGACATCCTTCAAGAACGTGGACCCTCCGCAGGCCAAAACAAGCAGAACATCCAAAGGTCCCTCCCCAGGATGCACGAGAACATCTAACAAACACGAAGAGCATTAGGGTACCCTCCCCGAACCGACCTCGATCTCATACCTCGGTCCGGCTGTACTGCCCCAAGGCCGAACGGGTGTTTTTGTTGACGGTCCCTGGGCTGGGAGACGGTCTCCACATGAGGCCGACAGCAACAAACAAACCGGCCGCCGCGATGTTTTCGTTCGCCGCCCAGATCCCGTGAGATCCAGCACCACGAAGAGATACAAGAAGCATGAAAATGCGCCCGAGAATGCCCATCTTCCTGTTGCATTTTTCGAGCCCGATAGGTCTGTGATGACCCCCGGGCAAGACACTGGGCGAACACGCCTGGTGTGAAACAACTCCGGCACTTCTGATCTCAAGGTCTGACCTTACAACGATCCCTTGCCCGGCCGGCCTGGCCCAGATCACCCGTTACCGAAAATGTCTGGCAACGCTCTAGACGAACCAGTCGCGACCGAAATCTGGCCTCCTGTCGCGAATCCTAATAACGAGCGAGCCGTCGACGTCTTCGAAACCCTCGCTTGGACCCCGACGCGCCGTCCCGTCGTTGCCGAAATTCGCCGCCCTCTGGTCGCGACCGAAATTCAACGCGACCGAATCCGGCACCGAAAATTTCGGGTCGCGGGTGATCTGGGGGGAAAGGACCGGGGCTCCAAGCCCCGAATCATCAGGGCTGGGGCTGGTCAGGGGTAGCTCTTGGTTCGTGCCTCGGGGGTCAACGCCAGAGTGACTGGAGGTATCCTGGATAATTCGGGCGCCCAACCACTCGCGAATCATCGGGGCCGAGGTGGTCAGGGGTAACTCCTGGTTCACGCCTCGGGGGCCCACGCCAGGAGTGACCGGAGCTATCGCGGATCATTCTTGCGTCCAGCCGCTCCAGAATCATCGGGGCCAGGGGTGGTCAGGGGCACAATCAAAGCTCGAGGAAAAGATGCGCGATGAGGATGCCAGGGGCCCTGGACGCCGATGCCGGAGCCTTCGAGCGGGGCTGGCCGTCGCAAGAGGTTAAGGGTGAACCGAGGAGGCAAGCATGCAAGCGCACTCTTGGGAAGACTACCCATCCTTACTTTCGGTTTCGACTGGAACTCCTGGTTCGCGCGTCGGGGGCTCAAACTGGACTTACCTCGGACCGGAGTGATCCTGGATGACTCAGGAGAGCCCAGAATCGAATCGATACGCCGGATCGACAATCTAAATGAATCGGATCTGCGGAGGTCGGCAGCCGAGTCGGGAACAGTCGAATCGGCGGAAGTCGGCAGGCTGGTAGGCTAGACCTCCATTGAGAAATCGGAGCCCAAATCGGAATCCGAAATCGAATCGAATCGACATCGGAAGCCCCATTGGGAGGCTGGGCGAGGGCAGGCAAATCCGCGGCTGCTAAAACGGTCTTCCCGGAAGTAAGAAGCAGACTCCCGGAACAAAGGTCAGCGCACCAGATGGTACACGGGCCGCTTCCCAAAGAAGAAGAAAAAAGAAACAGTTCCCAGGAGCTCCACTCTAGCAGCCACGGGCTTGCCCGCCGTCGCCTGGCTTCTGGCCCATGAGCCCCGATGACATCTGATGACTCTCAAGGGGCCCAAGGACACACAAATAAACGCACACAAATGAAAGGATTCCCCATATTTCCCAATATTTTCTGGGTTTCTGTCTTCCCCCCCATTTCCCATATTTTCCCATACCTATACGACCACCCTTCGGGTGATAAGGAGGTTCGGGGGGGGGAGGAACCAACGTCTCACTCGATCGGTCTCACTATCGATCTCACTATCGATCTCAGTATCGGTCTCGCTCGATCGATCTCCCTCGATCGATCTCACAATCGATCTCAAAATCAATCTCACAATCGATCTCACTCGATCTATCTCACACTCGATCTCACTCGATCTCACTCGATCTCACGCGATCTCACTCGATCATCATCATCATCATCATCATCATCATCATCATCATCATCATCATCATCATCATCATCATCATCATCATCATCATCATCATCATCATCATCATCATCAGCATGTTCATCATCATCATCATCAGCATCAACATCATCATCATCATCGTCCTCATCATCATCATCATCAGCATCACCATCATCATCATCATCATCATCATAAGCATCTGCATCAGCATCAGCATCAGCATCATCACCAGCATCATGATCAGCATCACCATCATCATCATCATCATCAGCATCATCATCTCATCATCAACATCATCATCATCATCATCAGCATCACCATCATCATCATCATCATCAGCATCAACATCAGCATCAGCATCATCAGCAGCATCAGCATCATCATCATCATCATCATCGTCCTCACCATCATCAGCATCATCAGCATCAGCATCATCATCATCAGCATCAACATCAGCATCAGCATCAGCATCATCATCAGCATCATCATCATCATCAGCATCTCATCATCATCATCATCAACATCATCAGCAGCATCAGCATCATCAGCATCAGCTCAGCATCAGCATCATCATCAGCATCATCATCAGCATCAGCATCATCATCATCATCATCATCATCATCATCATCATCATCATCATCATCATCATCATCATCATCATCATCGCGGGACACCGCGGGACACCGGCGGGACACCGCGGGGCACCGCGGGACACCGCGGGACACCGCGGGACACCGGCGGGACACCGCGGGGGCCGCCCGGAAGGGAGACATTTGGTCCGGCCGCGCCTCAGCCACAGGAGACTTTCTTCTCGCCCGCCCACGCAGCTTCGCCTCGCCCGCACGCACGGCACGCACGAACACGAAACCGAAATCGATTTCCCGGTAGGGGGGCTCTCCGTTCCACTTCGATCTCACCCCCTCACCTCCGATTCTCTGGGGAATCTACGATTCATTGTGTCTGTGTGTTTTTCCCCTCCTGAGACTCGGGCGTGGAAACGGGCAGCGGCGCCCGGCGGGCCGCCCTCCGACGATGCCCGCCTGCCGCTCGAAGTCCGCTGCGCGGGCGAGGAACGTGCCGCCCTCGCGGGGGGCGGCGGGACGTCCGCGCACGGCCGCCACCGAGTCGGGCCCGGCCCGCCCTGGGCCCGAGGAGCGGTGCAGATATGCTTCCGTGGCCACGGCAGGGGTCGGCGGCGAGCGGGGGAGGGGAAGCGAGGAGGGGAAGGCCTTCACGCAGGAGGCTCGGAAAGGCCCCCCCCCCCCGGCCTTCGGAGAAGTGGTCTCTAAAAGCCTCCCCCGAGGGCGCGGAGGACTCCTCAGAAGCCGCGGGGGCTTCTGAGAAGTCCCCCCGCCTTCCAAGAAGGCTTTCTCCTTCACTAGAGGAGGGGGAGGAGGAGCCATGAGGAGGAGGAGGAGGAGGAGGAGGAGGAGGAGGAGGAGGGAGGAGGAGGAGGAGGAGGAGGAGGAGGAGGAGGAGGTGGAGTCCTCATCCTCCTCCTCCTCCTCCTCCTCCTCCTCCTCCTCCCCCTCGTCCCCCTCGTCCCCCCCTCGCTCGCCGCCGAAGGGGGGCGCAACCACACCGTTCCTGGGCCCACGACGGGCCAGGCGTCGGGCAGCGGCGGTGTACGGACCCCGCCGCCCCGCCTCCCGGGCGCTGGCGGCCGACTGCATCTCGGCCCCGACCGCCAGCACGCAGTCGTTGCCCGCGCGCACCGCCATCACGGCCTCCGCCGCCGCCAGCCCGCCCGAAGCGCAGGCGCCCTCGACCCGCAGCGACGGCTTGAACAGGAGGCCCGGGTCGCCCGCGGCAACGGCTCCGAGGCCAGAGCGCATGCGGCCCCCAAACAAGCTCCAACGAGAACTCTATATATATATATATATATATATATAAAATGTGTGTATATATGTTTATGCTCAAGCTTGGTGGGTTTCTTCGATGCCAGCCTCTGGAATCGTCAAGGAAGGGTGCGGAAGCACAAACTACCCCTGGGGAAAAGCTGCCGCGCGTTAATACAAACCTCTCATCGTCGGAACCCAAGGGGCTCTGGAATGCAGTCCAAACTGACAGTAAGCACGCGCGGCAAAGACGTAAGCTTTTTGGACGCCCAGGTCGGAGCTTCTCGAGCGGGGCTGGCCATCGAGGGCAGCTAGTGACGGACTGGGGCAGCGAGGCTGCAAGGGTACCCCTGGGAAGGCTACCCATCCTTATCGTCGGTTTCGATTGCCCTGACTCCAGATCCGCCCTACTTTGGCTTTTTTCCCCACTAAAATTGCGTCGGAAATCCACCCATAAGAAGTCGAAAAAGTAGGGCGGAAATTTCTGCACACGACCAGAAACAACAACAGAAAAATAGGGCGGAAATTGGCATCAGCGGGGCTTGAGAAGTAAGGCGGAAATTCCAAGCCCTGCTTACGGATTTCCCCAAAGTAGGGCGGATCCGGAGTCAGGGTGTGGTCGAGCCGGCCCTGGCCAGCGCCAGAGGCCCCAGCCCGAAGACGACGGTGCCGCCGCCCTCCGCGGGCGGGCCTCCCGCCGCCGTCTTGCTGCCGCAAGCGTCCGGCGTGGGCGGGCTGCGCCGAAGGCGAGACCCTCTCTGGAGCAGCCCACGTGCACGCGATCATGAATGTTTGAAGGGGCCCTGGGACACGCAAATAAATACACACAAATAAAAGGATTCCCCGATCTTTCCGTATATTGTCTTGGTTTTGTCTTCCCCCCACTTCCCATGTTTTCCCACATTTTCTGGGTGATCGAGGATTGATTGTGTCTGTGTGTTTCCTTCCCTCCTGAATGTTGGCGGCGCGCTCAAGGGGGCACTGACCGACACGGCCTCTCAACGAATGGCACGGATGGGCCTGGGCCTGCGAGACCATCTGATTGAAGGGGGAGCCGCACACCAAAGGGGGAACACTGAAATACACAGAAGCCGGACCACATCGCAAGCATCAGGAGGGAGAGAACATAAGAGGTCGCACCGTAGGAAAGCCTGCTGAATCCATTTCCGATTGCCATATTAAGACTTTTGTGTTGTCTCGCTTCCCGCTCATTCATCCTCCACTCCGCCCACTCGCTGCCTGAATTATTTCGCCTCTCCTGATCGTCGCACTCAGATTCGCAAACCAAGCCGTGATATAGATAGAACTGAACGGGTCCTCCCACCTTCAAACGCACATTTTACGCCCGTGCCCCTGGTTGCCCGCGGCTGCGTTGGTCTGTGCCAAGTAGGCGCGGCTCTTTTGCATCAGAGCCCACGGAGCAAGCCTACCCGGGGAGTGATTTCGTTTTCTCGCGATGTGTCAAGCTGTGAACTCTGTTGCGGCACTTGCCGATCCCGCGTCACAGCATCATGCTTCTCGATTATCGCACAGATACTGCCATTCACTATGATTTGGAAATGTCTCACATCCTCATCTGGGGCCTCCCTGAGGCATGGCGTCAGACTCAGCATTCGCCAACGCATAATTTGAATCACGCGGAGGCGTCGCCGGGCAAACAGAAGGGCGCCTGCGCAGAAGAAGCCTGCATTTCCACCATGCTCTCCAAGAGCTGCAAGCGTCGCGCCAGCTCCCCCTGCTCGGCGCAAACAGAAGACGATGGCGAGTAAAGGATCCCACCCTCTATTTATAGTTTTCAGCGCAGCCGCTGGTGCGTTGCGGCCCATGGAGATCCAACCTCCCAGACATCTAAAACTCTCGACCCAAGATGCCCGACATCGTCTCGCATCCCCCAAAACAAACCTGCCTGGCATCAACGGCGGCAGTCGCCATCCAGCATCAATCCTGCGCGTGCGCAATACAGCGCAAACCTCGCGCCGCATCGCGCAGCGATTGAAACGCCGCGGTCGACATTCGCGAACTAATGGCACGCAGCAATGCTGATCCGCAAAGACCAGTTGGAAGCGATTTCTAAGTCCTGCAGGGTCTGCTGTTGTTTGTGTTCTTTAGAGATCCCTGGCTGTCGCAGGCCCAGCGCTTCCAAAGGTGAAGCCCGCTGGTCGTTCTGGCGGGCGCCTGCCAAGATCTCTGCGGCCTCGCCCAAGAAGCGCGCGAATTCCCTCGGGGCCTCCGGGCCCCCTAGCTGCGTTGATCGCGCCCTTTGGATTCCTTCCGAGGGCCCCCGGGCCGGGCGCGCGCGCGCTGGACATTCTTCGGCGCGCCTTGCGCAGTCTGGCAGCCGCGACGATCCGAGGCGCGATCCGTCGAACATGGCTACGGACCCAGCGGTCGCGGCCCACCATGTCGAAGGCCTCGCACAGATCGCCCGCCCCAAGAAAGAAAGGCTCGACAAGCTTATTTGCTCTCTCGACTACTAGACGCGTCACTAGGGCAATCTCGCGCACTTGGTGGCGGTTCCTGTTCGCAAGCCGGCATTCCGTTAGCGGCTGTTCGCGCGGCCCCGACAGGTGTCCCAGGACCATGGCGCGCAGTTTCAAAAAACGCAAATAAAGCCACAATAGGTCGGGAACCGTTCGCTTTCTTAGCGCCGCAAGGGCCGAGAGAATCGCGCGGCCCTGGCCCCCCAGCGGCCCCGCGCCCTCCGCGGGATGATGTAAGGCCCTTGGAGCAAACGTCTCAGCTAGAAAGGATAGGGCGTCGTCGCTCACAGATTGGAGCATCTCCGAGAACAGCGCGTCGCCCCTGGATCGCGTCTTCTCTCTTTTCGCCCATTGGAGAAGCGATCGCAAAAGATGGGCACTCACTGGCGGCGAGTCCTTCAAGTCTGCCCTCGCCCAGCTCGGCGCACCCAGTCGGGCGCCGGCGCCGCTCGCGGGTCGGCGAAGAAGAACGCGCAAAGCTCGCGCGCCATCCGCCGCCGTCGAAATCCGTCGCGGAGCGCCGTCGCCCCCCCCCCTGTCGCCGTCGCGCGCCCCGCGTGCCCTCCGCCATCTCGGCGAGCTTCAACAAATGCTGTCGTTGCCTGCCCAGAGCGCGCCGCTCCTGTGCCGGCGTCTGTCCTAGCTGGTGGCGCAAGACAAAATCTTGCTCTCGCCCGTATGACCTGGAGCTCATTGACCAAGAAGACTCGGGGGCGATCCCCGATGGGGCTCGGGGGCCCAGGGGGCCTCTGCAGGGCGCCGACGCACGGCGCCCACCGTCGCCGCAGTCTACGCGAGGGAAAACAGGGCGGGAAGCGCGTTGCCGCCCCCGCGGGCCCCCCCCGGGGTGTTCGCAGGCACGGAGACGAGAGGAGAGGGAGGCAAGCGCGCTCATGTCGCGCGCGCATACTCGTCGCGCGCTCCGTGCGCACCCGCTCCAAGCGCTGGGGGCGCCCCCGATGTGAGCCAGACAGTCGGCGAGTTCGTCGCCCAAGACCCCCCGCGCGGCCCGTTGCCCGCGCGGCGCGGACACTGTAGACCCGCTTCATGCGCGACCGGAGGGAGGCATGCGCGGTGGACGCGATCACACAGCGCCGGAGAGAGAAACGAGTCGAGGACGCCCGGGACATACGCAGATGCAAACAAGCACATCAATCGCAACGCCTGCGGGAACCAGAGTTGTGGACTTCCTTCAGCCTGGGCGCGCAGCCGCGCTTGCAGCCCCCGTAGCCCCCGCGAGCACTGCCGCATTGTTCATCGACCGCGCTGCCCCGAGATACCTTGGATCCGCGATTTGCAGCGCCGCTGCCCTGGGCGCGCGGAGAGGTCGTTGCTGGAATCGCTGGGGGAGGGGAAGTCAACGGGGAAAGATGCAAGCCCCCGCCCGAATTGCATGGCTCTCTCGCCTCGCATGGCCCATCCGAGAGCGATCGAAACCTCGCCGCGCTGGCCCTGGACATCCACGCCCAAGGCCTCCTGAGCCGGTGCAGACCCGGGCCAGTCGGGCTCTGCAAGACCCTGCAGGATCCTGCAGGACCCCGCACACGCTGGTCGGAAGAGGCAGGCAGAGGCAGGAAGCAGGAAGGCGGGTCAAGCAGATAGGGGCTCAGGCCCTCCCGGAAGATAGCAGACACACATCAAAGCCACGCCGAGTCCTGAAGGAGGCAGGCGCTCGAAGTGGAGTGGGATCTGGGAGTTCCGAAACAGCACCTGCTCTCAATAGAAGAAGAAAAAACCACATAAACATGAACTGTCGGCGCTGCGCGCGGATTTCTCGGATCCGCGCCAGACCCCCCCTCCCTGGCGCGCGGAGCGCGCCAGGGGCGGCGCCGGAGGCGCCGCCAGAGGGGGTCCAGCGCGGATCCAAGAAATCCGCGCGGAGCGCCGAAAGTTTATGCTTGTGCGGTTTTTCCTCTTCGATCCAACGACCGCGCCGAGTGCCCCCGCCATGATATCATGGCCCCCGCCACGACATCATCCACCCCCCCTCTGCCGCCCCCGAGATCTGGGAGCTCCAGAACAGCACCCGCTTTCAACGACCGCGCTGTGTGCCCCGCCTGTGCGCGCGGCCGCGCTCGCGCGGACATCCGAAGGACGGCCTCCCTCGTGTTTCCGCACGGCTCCGGAGCGGGAGGCTGCCCCGCAGGCTCGCCACCGCTCGGGGCGTCCTCTGCCCGTGCCTTTCCCAATGTTTCGTGCGTCCCTGTGCTGGCAAGGTGGGCCAAGGCGTTCCTCGATGTCGGCGGCGAGCAATGGGGGGAAACGGGAGGGAGAAGGCCTTCCTAGAGGGCGGCGGGACTCCTCGCCGCGGAAGCTCTCGCGCCTTCTGGGAAGCTTTTCTGTCTTTGGGGAAGGAAGGCTTAGAAAACTTCTCAGAAGACCAGGAGACTTCCGAACCTTCTGGGAAGGCTCGTCGCCGACTTCTCGACTTCGTGTGTACATTTGCGCGCAAGATGGGCACAAGATGGGCCAAGATGCTCCTCGACTGCCCTCGCAGAAAAAATGCACCCCGCCGAGCGACGCCGAGGAGAAGGGGTCGGGAGCTCCAGGTCGGTGGTTCAAAGATGGGGCCCTGAGGGATGCAGTTTTGAGGACGAGGTCCGGCGGCCAGCCAACTTCTCAGAAGGCTCGGAAGTCCCCTGGCCTTCTGAAAACTTGGCTAAGCCGTCCTGATGAGACAGAGAACCTCTCAGAAGTCCGGATGCCTTCTGAGAAGCCCCGCCGCCTTCTGAGAAGGCCTTGTCCTTCTCACTTTGCACCCCTCGCTCGCCATCGAGAGGTGCCTCAAACAAGGTGGATCCACCCTTGGATCCCTTCCTATCCTTAGGGCCACAGCCCTCAGGACCCCATCTTTGGACCACCGACCAGGGCCGCGGATTCGAAAAAATAGGTCCGTCGGGTACCGGCGCGGGTGAGGGAGTCCTAAGGTTGTCGTTCACTTGTAGAGCTCGCAATTGTCAGCTCCACTGCTCGCGCAATCATCCCGCCCACCCACCCGCAACTTGTCTTGCAAAATACAAGCGGCGGCGATTGCCATGAGTGCTTGGCGTTGGCTGGTACATCTCTGCGGCCGCGCCAGCCCGCGCATGCGCTTGCGCGCGGCGGCCAGCTAGCTTGGCGCGACGTCCAGGGGTGGTCCTGCGAGCCACTCTTCCGTTCGAAGCTTTCCATCCTCTTTCCCGCGGCCGCCTGGGGCTCTCCGAGCTCGCCGGCCGGGGGTGAGTCGACCCAGGGCGTGATCGAGCCTCCTCCTCTTCCTCCTCGTCCTCCTCCTCCCTCTCCTCCTCCTCCGTCTCCTCCTCCTCCTCCTCCTTCCCTCCTCCTCCTCCTCCTCCTCCTCCTCCCTCCTCCTCCTCCTCCTCCTCCTCCTCCTCCTCCTCTTCCTCGGGAAGGAGGCCCCTCTCCCGGGGCTCCTTCCCCGCCAGGGGCGGGACTCCTGTGGCAGGGTGCGCCCCTGCCCTCTCCTCCCGAGCGAGTGGCCCGGGCCATCCTGGGGCCAGTTTGGGCTATCTCTGGTGATAGCCTCCTCAGCCTCCTTTCTTGACGTTGATCGGACTTAAGCTGAGCAGCTGTAGCGTTCGAGCCTCCTCCTCCTCCTCCTCCTTCTCCTCCTCCTCCTCCTCCTCTCTGGCTCATGGCCTCTCACCACCCTCTTTGGCTACTTCTGATTCGTCCTGATTCATCTGGGCCACTTTGGGGAACATCGCGGGCCGTTTGGGAGTCTCTGGGGCTGGTCCTGACGCGAGAGCGCCCAAGACGGCCCAAGAACTGGCCAAGATGGCCGCAGAGGCCCCAGATATGGGGCCAAGGGGCCCTCAAGGTGGCCCCAGGAGGATCCCGAACAGCTCGTCGCTGTCGCACCGCTAGAATTAGGTCGGGCATGTCGCCCTACAGGCAGGCTTTCGGCGAAAAATGGAAACAACACATCCAAAAACTGTTCAACAATGATTTTTCAAAAATGTTCCCCGACTATTTTGTACTATTATCGAACATCCCTCCTGTGGAGGGACAGGCCCGACTTGACCCTATACCCCATATACCTGGGAGGCCCGCAGGACGCCCCCAGAGGACCCAGCTGCACCAGAGAGGGCCTCGAAGGCCAGCAGGCCCCCCTAAGACGCCCCCACAGATCCCCCAAGCCATCCCCAAGGCAACCCAGGCGCAGTGGCGTGATGGGTCATCTCATCTGAAGGGGCCCTGGGACACACAAACAAATACACACACATAACAGGATTCCCCATATTTTCCAATTTTCTGGGTGTTTGTCTTCCCTCCAACTTCCCATATTTTCCCATATTTTCTCTAGGGAATCGACGAGTAACTGTGTGTGTGTGTGTTTCCCTCCTGACCATTGAAATCACCACAGTCACTGCCCCTTCCCGTAGAGTCCCCCTTCCGCCTCTCGTGTAAAACATTGTTCACTCTGCGATGTCCCGCGTCGGCGGCACAGAAGCATGCGAATTCCTAAGCAAATCCATCATAATATACTGCGCTCGGCCGACATTTCGGCCAACGCTCAAATCCACCGCCTGGGGAACGGTAACCGGTGCCCCAAAGCCCCAGGGCCCACAGGAGCTGGTGGATACGGAAAGTTCCTGTACCATGAGAAATCTTGCCGGAAGAAACATTGCGGCGTACTCTTCGTCGACCTTTGAGGGTCCTCGCCAAGGTGCCACATGCCTTCTGTGGTGCCGCATGCCTCCTGCGGCTACCCTGGGGCCATCGGGGGATGAGGAATCTCCGTGGGGCACCTGCTGGCAGGCCGGCTTCTGCCTTGAGATCCACCGCGTCCTGGGGCCCGAGGCGGTGGGCGGGCACACTCTCCGGCCTCGACGATGGCAGCCCCGAGGTGCCCTTGCTGGTTGAAGAGCTCGCCGGCGAAGTTGCCCACGTACACGCGGTCCACGTGCTCGGCGGCGGCCCCGGTGCTCGCGAGGGCGCCGCGGATCGAGGTCGCGATGCATCGGTGGTTCAAGGATGGGGTCCTGAGGGATGGGGTCCTGCCCACCAGGTGCCTCACGCAGTGCAAATCCATCCTTGAATCTCTTCTTGTCCTCCGGGCCCCACACCTCAGGGCCCCCACCCTGGAACCACCGGAATGTAGTCCTTCAGCGCAGGGTTGGTCCTCTTGCCGAAGTCCGGGTGCTTCTTCCAGATGAAGCTCGGCGAGCCCTTCCCGATGAAGGGCGTGATGTTAGAAGAAGAAAAACTGCATAACCATAAATTTTCGGCGGTCCGCGCGGATTTCTTGGATCTGCGCTGGACCCCTCTCCCTGGCGCGCGGAGCGCGCCAGTGGCGGCGCCGGAGGCGCCGCCAGCGGGGCCCAGCGCGGACCCAAGAGATCCGCGCGGAGCGCTACAGGTTTGTGCTCATGGCGTTTTCTCTTCTTCGAGATGTGGCCGCCCACCAGGAACACGCGGCGCGAGGACATGGCCTTCGCCCGGCCGCTGCGGCAGAGGTCGCGCGGGGAGCGCGCGCGGCGCGAGGACCAGGGCGCCCCTGGCCTGGCTCCCAGCGGGGAGGGGGTCAATCGAGCCACGGGCTGCTCGCGGGACGACTCGGCGGCGAGCCCGGGAACTTGGAAATTGGCACTTTAGACAAGCGCGTTCCACGACTCGCGAAGTAATTACTCGCAAATCGCGAATGGCCTGGATCCGCCGCGGAAGACTTACGATGCAGTGCGTAAAGGAAGACATGTTTGTTTGGGCGGACATTTGCGAGAGCAGGTACTTTGCGAGTAGTGGAACGCGCTCGGTGAAACTTGGGTGTCAACGGAACGATCCCATGATGGGATCAGTGCCGGGGGCGTGCAAGGCGCGAGGCCGCTGGCAGGCCAAGAGAGCCCACCTCGTGTGGGCAGAAGACATCCGATTACCTGATCACGTGAGAGAGCAAACAACAAGAAACGTCGCCCCGGCGAGCCTGGGGCCCGGAGAAGAGAAGGGCGGGCCTCCTCAGGAGGCTCGGAAGCCCCCCCCAGCCTTCGGACAAAAAGTGCTGGGCCCCCCCGAGGACACAGAGCACTTCTCGGAAGGCCAGGGGGCTTCTCAGAAGCCCCGCCGCCTTCTGAGGAGGCCTTCTCCTTCTCACTTGCCCCCCTCGCTCGCCGCCGCATGATGCCGGGGTGATGACAGGATGGCTGCCCGGGGGATGGGGGGTGGGGGGGCAAACAGTTTCGGCTACACGCAAGAGCGGCCCTAGACAAGAGCGAGCGTTGGTGCGCGGCTCTGGAGAGCCGCGAAGGGCCCTGTGGGCCCGCACCAAAGGTCACTCCGGTGAAAGGTCAGTCACTCTCGCGCGTGGCCGAAGAAGGGACCAGTAGCGCTGCTTCCCAGACCTCTCCTGGGCTGCATTCCGATCAGAATCTCGAGGGGAAACCAGCAAGTGGCGCCGAGGGCTCTCCAGGACGAGCAGCGGTATCGGTATCTGCTCCTCCTCTGAGACCCTGGACGGTCCAAGTACAGTAGGGGCCCGACCACAAGAAACCTTCCACAAGAAAACCCAACCCTGAGACCCCAGGACGTCCACTGATTTCCGGTGTGGGAGCGTCACGCCTTCCATCGCAAAACCATCGAAACCCAAGAAACCCAGGGCTCCCTGGAGGCAAGCAGGGTGTTTCTTGGCATGGGTCTCCACTGTATATCTGTTCCTCCTCTGATGCCCTGGACGGTCCAGGTAGTAAGCGTGGACGGGGGGATCGCGCGGAGGGACCGGGATGAGCAGCACGGCGCGCACGCTGGGGGTCGGATCGGGGTGGGCATGTCCTCCTGCAGGCGGATTTTGGAGAGAACATAAAACAGAGTCCGAACATGAAGACAAATAATCAAAAATGCTAGAAAAACCGTCCCCATACTTTTTTCCTTTTTGAATACTCCTCCTGCAGAGGGGCATGCCCGACTGAAGGGTTGGATCGGGTTGAGGAAGTGGTGTTGGATCGCGAGGGGAGGGCCAGCACTGGCCGTCGGGCGGGGTGGTATGAGGAGGCACCCGGTACTGCAATACGTAGGCACATGCGATACAACACGTTGGCCAGCGTGTGGGTCCCAAAGGTGATGTCTTGCAGTCTGTTCGGCGCAGTACAGGTGATGCCATCCACGCGGTGCATTCTGGGTGGTACACTCCATGTGGTGCAAAGCATTGCAAAGAAAACGCAGTGCAACGCAACGCAATGCAAAGCAATGCAACACCATCCAGAGCAACGCAACGCAATGTAACGCAATGCGAAGTAATGTACTGCGATGCACAGTGATGCAAAGCGACGCAATGCGATGCAACGGCAATGCAACGCAACGCAACGCAATACATGCGAAGCAATGCAGAGCAATGCGATACAATGCAAAGCAACGCACACCAATTTACTAAGGCAACGCAGAGCAATGCAGAGCAATGTGAGGCAAGGCAGCGTGATGCAATGCACACCAATAACGCAGCAGTGCAAAGCAATGCAAACCAACACCCTACGATGCAGATCCGCCGACCCCTGCTGGCTGGGGGCTGAAAAGGCGTGCGAGACATTTGGCTGTCCCCCTCTCCCTTTCCCCCTCTCCTGGGGTCCAAAACCTCGTTTTAGGGCGGGGAGGGGAGCTCCCGAGGGTGGGTGGCCGAGCTCCTGAACGCTCTCTGGGGCCTCCGGAGCCTCCACAAAGCCCCAAGAAGGCCCGAGAGAGCCCCAACAAGCGCGACAGAGGCCCAAGATGGCCCCAAGATGGGGCCACCAAAGACGCCCCTAGAAGCCTCCAAGAGGCCCCCCAAGAGGGCCCCAGGATGCACAAATGCGTGATTTTCCTTAGGTTCTTCAGGGATTTGTGCGTTCTCGATCTCGGCTTTCCGACGCTCCAAAACGGCCTAACCAAAACGGCCCAAGAGCGTCCGAAGACGGCCCGAGAGGCGCCCAAGACGGCCCAAGAAGACCTCAAGACGGCCCCAAAAGGGACCCAAGAGAGGGAACATGAACCGCAAATTCGAGCCTTCCGCCCCAAGAGGCCCCCAGGAGGCCCCAAGAGGCGCCAAGGAGGCCCCAAGTGGCCCCCAAGAGGCCCCAAGAGGCCCCCAAGATGCCCAAAAGAGGCCCCGAGAGGCCCCAAAACGGCCCCCAAGAGGTCTCCAAACTGCCTCCAAGAGGCCCCCGAGAGACCTCCCACGCGATCCCAACGAACATCTAATAGGCTTCATACCCAGAACCGAGGCACGGCGGCAGGATTGGCCGAATGCCTTTCGATAATCGTGCCCCTCCTCTTCTGCCCCTCTTCCTCCATCCCCCTTTCTGAAGGAGGCCCCCGAGATGCATCCCGCGAGCCCCTCAAGTACATCCATGGAGCTCCTGACCCACCAGATAACTTCCAAGATCGTTGCACGCACTCGCTCCTCCTGAGGGGTCGGCGGGGTGGCGCAAGCCCCTTGGATCAGTGCAAGAAAATGCACATTGCAAAGCGATGCGAAGCAATGCAAAACAGAAAACAAGGAAAAGTGCGAGCCTCGCACAATCCACACAGGGCTGAACCCAAACGGTGCTTTTCGTTCCCGTGTTGCTTCCGTACTCCCTCGTTCTGTCTCCCATCCGCCTCTGCCCCAAAACGCAGTCGACACGAAAACGGCCCACGACATCGCCAAAACACCGTCTAGGTCCAATCCTGACCAAGAGAGGCCACGCCGCATCCCCGATCGGGGCAGCTCGCCTGGGCACCTTCGGTGGCAACTTACGGGAGCCTCCCGTACCATCTTGTCGGCTCTTACGAATCGACGCTCGTCGACGCTACCCTGACTCCGGATCCGCCCTACTTTGGGGAAATTCGTAAGAAGGGCTTGGAATTTCCGCCTTGCTTTTCAAGCCCCGCTGACGCCAATTTCCGCCCTACTTTTCTGTTGTTGTTTCCGCCCTACTTCTGTGGATTTTCGCCCTATTTTATATGTTGGGTCAGAAATTTCCGCCCTACTTTTTCGGCTTCTTACGAGTGGATTTCCGACGCAATTTCAAGTTGGAACAAAAACAAAAGCAGGGCGGAGCTGGAGTCAGGGTACACCGACGCTCAATCGACGCTGGCCGTCGCTCATCCACAGATCCCCGACCGAGGCCGGCGGCCACAGGGCGGCCGCAGGCCGGCCAGGACCGGCAGCCGCGTGCCCGAGCCCTCGGAGAAGCGCTGCGGCGACGGGCGGCCCCCCCGGGGCTGGCCGCAGCGACGGCCGGGCGCCGGGCTCCCCGGCGGAGGAGCTCGCGGCGGCGGGCGGCCACGAGCTGGCCAGGCCGTCGGCCGAGGTCAGAGCCCCCGAGGTGAGCGCTTGTCGCTGTCGGCGTTTCGGCATTGGGCGAAGGAAGGGGGGGGGGGAGGGAGGGGGGGGGGGGGGCCGGCCCCGGACCTCTGCTTCGTGCGACTGCTTGCAGCAGTGCGTCCTGTGGGAGAGACCCCACCTGCTTGAACCAGGCGCCCCAAACAGCCAAGATCTACTCCATGGGGGGGGGAGGGGCCGGGGGCGAGGGCCCGCGCCGATCGGCAAAACAATGAAAACGAAAACGATCACGAGCGCAAGCACCGTTGGGGGAAGCTTGCTGTCAGAAATCTTGCAGTACGCTCTTCGCTGGTCGGTGAAGGCCCTGAGGTGCCCCAGAGCCCCTGTGGGTGCCGGGAGCCATCGGGGGGCAAGACAACTCCGCGGGGCACCTGCCGGCAGGCTGGCAGGCTGGCTTCTGATCTGATGTTCCTGCTGCAGTCCAGCACGTGGAATACTTACGTCAACGGAGTCCTATCACTGGCTGCGCATCATGAGAATGCGGGGTAAAGGATGCAGGGCCCCTGGATGCTCAAGGTGCAGCCCCGCCCCACCAGTACGCACACCCCGGGCCTGGCCAACGGCAATGACCAAGGGGTCCAAAACGGCACACGTGTAAGGGCGTCCTTGGAGAAACACCTCCTCCTTGTTGTAGGCGGCGACTGAGGGGCCTCGTCAAGCAGAGGGCGATGCACAGCAGAGGGGCACGTCCTAGTGCCAAGGATACTTTTTTACAAACAGCTTGGGGAGGGGCCTTGTCCAGTAGAAGACGATGCACAGCAGAGGGTCACGTCTGGTGCCAATGATGCTCGAACAGAAAATCAGCTTAGGGAGGGGCCTTGCCCAGCAGAGGTGATGCACAGCAGAGGGGCGCGTATAGCACCAAGGATGTCTTTGGGGAGAGGCCTCGTCTCGCAGAGGGCGCTGCGAAGAAGAGGGGTGCCGAGCCCAAAACGAACGAGGGGGGAATAACGTACCAAGCACCCTCATGGTACGCTATGTCCCCCTGCTCCTCCCGGACCACCTGACAACCTGACCAACTGACCACCTGCCTGAACACTTGACCGCCTGAACGTCTGACAGCATGACCGTCTGACTATCTGACCACTTGACAACCTGACCACCTGACCACCTCACCGCCTGACCACCTCACCACCTGACCACCTGAGTACCTCAGTACCTGAGTACCTGAGTACCTGAGCACCTGAGTACCCGAGCACCTGAGCACCTGAGCACCTGAGTGCCTGAGCGCCTGAGCACCTGAACACATGAGCACCTGACCGCCTGACCGCCTGACCACGTGACCACCTGAGGAAGCAGGAGGAGCAGGAAGAGGAGGAGATGGAGGGCGCGGGGATGAAGAGGGGGGAGCAGGAGGACGAGGAGCAAGGAAGGTGAAGGAAGAGGATGACAGGGTGAAGGAAACGGACGAATATGAGTGAGGACAAGCACGGCATTGGGGCCTTGGGACCAGCCCCTGCTGGCGGGCGTCGCCTGCGCACTTCCTGTTCTCCTTCTTTTCTGCTCTTCAGCGAGACCCAGAACAGGAGGGGGGAAACAGCGTACCGCAAGCTCTTCCCCCTCTCCAGTTTTGGCCTCCCTTGATTCCTGTTTGGTCAACCTCTGGGGCCCAGGGACAGACAAACAAGTGGGCACAGATCCCAGGATCCCCCGCATTTCTCAACGTGTTCTGGAGTTCTGTCTTCCCCCCCCACTTCCCATTGATTCTTCCATCTTCCCGTGATTAGTATCCGAATGTTTTTTGTTCCCCCTCCGGACTGATCTGCGCTGCTGCCGCTGCTCGCAGGCCTAGAGGTTGACACCAACACCAATTTCGGCGGTGTGGTCCACCGAGGGAAGAAGATCCCGATCTCGGTGATGGTGGTAATATTCTGACTTCCAAGGTGGCCGAAATATTACCACCAACGCCGAAATCTAGGATCATCTTCCCCTTGTGGAGGCAACCCCGTGTGTTGGTGTTGGTGCCCATTTCCAGGCATCCAAGCTGCGGGCCAGGGACGGCGGGCCCATGGCAGCGCGTGCGAGGCGCCGGCGGCGACCAGGGGATCTCTCCGCCACGGGCCCCTCCAGAGACCCGGGTGTGGCAAGGCCGAAGGCGCCCTCGAGCCTCGATCGCGTCGTCCTCCATTCAACCCTGGGACACACAAAGAAAGAGACACAAATCCAAGGATTCCCCATTTCTTCTCACGTGTCCAAGATATTTCCCATATTTTCTTATATCTCCTGGGGATCGACGATTAGTTGTGTCTGTGTGTGTTTTCCCCTCCTTATCCATCCCGCTCCTCGACTCGGCGGCGAGCCCAGGGGGGAGGGGAAGCGAGAAAGGGCGGGCCTTCTCCGAAGGCTCGGAAGTCCCCCGGCCTCCTGAGCAGTTCTCTACAAAGCCCTCCCCGGAGACGCCGACAGCTTCTCGGACGGCGCGAGGGCTTCTGAGAGAAGTCCCGCCGCATTCCGAGAAGGCCTCCTCCTCCTCGTTTCCCCCCCCCCCTCGCGCGCCGCCGATCGATGGGCGGCGGGCAGCAGCGGCGGCGGCGGCGGCGGCGGCGGCGGAGTCGGCGGCCGGGGCGAGCAGCCAGAGAAGGGGTCGACCAGCACCGATACGATGGCCCCCGCATGTCTGTCCCGTTCCGACCCTGCCGACCCTCCTTCTCCTCCTCCTCCTCTTCCTCCTCCTTCTCCTCCTCCTGCCCGCCACCACCACCACCACTACCACCACCACCATCATCATCATCATCATAATCATCATCATCATCATCATCATCATCATCATCATCATCATCATCATCATCATCATCATCATCATCATCATCATCATCATCATCATCATCATCATCATCGCAATCAGCATCATCAGCATCAGCATCAGCATCAGCCTCATCATCAACATCATCAACATCATCACCATCATCATCACCACCATCATCATCATCAGCATCGTCATCATCAGCAGCAGCATCATCATGATCTTCATCACAATCATCATCACCACCATAATCATCATCATCACCAACCACCCATCATCATCAGCATCATCAACATAATCAGCAGCATCATCATCATTATGTTTTCTTCCTCCTCCCAGTCCAGGGCCCCATCCTGCATCGCCTTCGTGCTCTTCTTCCTCCTCGTCCTCCATCGTCTCCTCCACTTTTGACGTTGACCGACATTGGCAGGATGGCCGTGACGTCAGTCTTCCTTCTCCTCCTCCATCATTATCAGTCCTCCTTCTCCTCCTATTCCTCCTCCTCCTCCTCCTCTGCAGCCTCTTCCTCCTCCTCCTCCTCCTCCTCCTTCTCCTCATCCCCCTGCGCACTCAGTGTTTTCTAATTCACGCGAGTGCAACTCCCTTGTCATGATATGGCATCGTTACTCAACCAGATGGACCTCAGCGGGCTGCTAAGCGAAACAGATAATGCAGCATTTTCCCAGGGGTTACAGAGGAGGCGCCCGATCGCGCGAGCGGCAGCATCGCCACGCGACTCACGATGGTCTGTCCGTCCCGACTAATTAAAGGCCTCACAGGTGTTGGCGCCCACTTCTGGACGAAGAGTGCGGCCCTGGTGGCGGGGCGCCTCAGCAGCAAACGCCCTTCTTCGTCTTGGTGACCGTGGCCTTCTTCCCGGACGCGACCTTCTTCCCCGCCTTCTTGGCAGCGGTCGAGGCTGCTGCCACCGAGGCCGCGGTACCCTCGGCGGCCGCCTGCGTGGCAGCCGCAGTCGGGTGTGCGGCAGTGTTCGTCTCCGCCGCAGGCTGCTGTGCCACAAACGTGAAGGGTGACGCGTAGCTGACCGCGGACTGCAACCCTGGCTGCGCGAGGTAGGTCATCTGCTGCCCGGGCTGCGCGAGGTAGGTCACCTGCTGCTCGGGCTGCGACAGGTAGGTCATCTGCTGCCCAGGGTCCTGCAGGTAGACCACCTGTGGCTGCGGCGCCGCGGCGTAGACCACCTGGGGCGCGGCCTGAACGTAGGCGGCCTCGGCGGGCGCGGCCAACTGCTGCGGGGCGGCCGTGTAGGTGACCGTGTTCGGCTGCGCGTACGTGATCGGCTGCTCGGCTGCGCGCACGTACATGACAGGCGGCGGCGGCTCTGAGGACACGGCGGGGGCTGGCTCCGGCTCTGCCGCGGCGTAGGTGACGGCGGGCTGCACGTACTGAGCGGGCGCCGCGGTCGTGAGGCTGGCCCCTGCGGCGGGCATGGTCATCACGTGCATGGCGCCGTACGTGGCTGCTGGTGCCGCTTCGGCCGTCACGTACTGCACCGCGGGCTGGGACTCGACGTGCGCAGCGGCAGCCTGGACGTACTGTATCGTTGGCGCCGCGGCGTACTGCACCGTTGGAGCCTGGACGTACTGCACCGTTGGCGCCGCGGCGTACTGCACCGTTGGCGCCGCGGCGTACTGAACTGTTTGTGCTGGGGCAGCATAGACAAAAGGAGCCTGGGCAGGCGGCAAAACTGCTGGCGCCGCTTGCACGTACTGAACCCCAGCAGCTCCGTGGGCGGCTTCGAACTCAGCTCGGCTGATGACCCCGTCGTGGTTCGTGTCGACGGCGTCGAATGCCTGCTGGGCGGCAGACATGACTCGGGCGACGAGCCCGACTGGCAAGGCCTGGGGGCTGCTGGCGGTATCGGCTGGCCGCTTCGACACCTGGGCCAAAATGGCTGCGAGTCTCACACACGGGCCGCGTGCCCCCAGCTCCTGCACGAGGGAGCGGCGAGGGCAGAAATGGGGCAGACTTGCTGGGGTGGCGGGCCTCGCCGGGCCATCCTGTGGCCTTCTTCAAGTCATCGTGGGGAGACAGGGGCAAGGGAGGGGGGGGTGACGGGGCGGCGAACAAGCAAGGGAACGAAGGACGTCGGAGGCACATGGCACGCCTGCCCTGGCTCCTGCACCAGGGGGCGGCGAGGGACAGGAAGGGGAGGGCACGGAAGGGTGGGTGAGCGGCCCTGGA